GGGCAGGGAGGAAGTGCGGTGGGCCGGGACCCCGAGACCCAGAAGAGTCCTATATGGAAGCCGGTAACTGCGATTCCTTGCGAATTTCAGGAGTCCGTGCGCCTGAATGCTTGGTCAACACCGCATAACTTTTGGATTTTTCCCTCACCACATTTTTATGTCCCCGAGCGCAGAACCCACAAGGCAGTTTTCTATGTTTGAATACAGTGAGCTAAAGGATTGATACTGATATATTTTCTTAAATATTAATCTTAATTTCCTACATTTTCCACAATGAAACCGATCACAACCGTGTTGGGTCCATTTCTTCCCAGTGATTTGAATATGAAAGCTATGAAGTGGTTTAAATATAAAAGCTGTGGGGTGTATAGTGAATGTTTATTATTGATAATTAAACAGGGCGGTAACGTCATATTTCCCTATAGTTGCTGTGCCGTGTAAACGGCATGTTGTTTCTGTACCGAAAGGGGTCCACATTTGCGAAACATCGATTTCGCACAGTTTTGGGCAGCAATGCCATGGTGCATCGTCTATGATGCACTCCTGAAAAACAGTTCAGACTGGACACGCATAATACAAAATGGATCATTTATCTTGCGTTTTCTTGTACAATTTGCCCAAAATATACATTCGTCTATATTAACAGTCGGCGGTCATTTCTTTTCTCCAGACAACGGCAACACACGCGCGCCAAACGGCACGACAGACACAGTGTTGGATCTGTGCTTGCGGTCTGCGCTCCGGCCGGACATGACAACATTGAGCGAGGGAGTGGGGGTAGGCTAATGCCAAGTGTCCAAACAATTTTGTCCACGGCTGTAGCGCCACAGTGCTGGGTTCAAACATTTCGTGAAGGGGTAGTTTGGAAAAGAGCAAGAAAGTGTTTAGAAAAAGTGCTCATTCGCTAATTCCAAACACATTTTTTGGCAGCTGTTTCTCTTTCGTGTTCCTCAAAAAACCCACCTGTTTCTGTTACACTGTTGCCACCCCCAAAAGCCACAACTGTACGTGGACCGATGTCGGCAACTGTACGAACAGGTAAGACCCCTGTGAATTGACAAATAATAGCATTTTTAAAAAGTCATTTTGAATGCTGGAGAAGACCGTGCAATTTGAAGTAGGCCTAACGCATTATCAAGTTATAAAAATATTGATTCAAAGTAAGACACACAATTTTCTCCATCTCTATCATCATGTGGTCGTCATCTACTGCAAAGCGTACTTTCCAAACTCTTGCAACCCATTAAGCCCTTGACGCCATAGATTTCAAGTTCATGACACTCTTGTGCCGACAAATATAATTATGGAAATTCGAATTCACGGTGAAAAATAGAAGTGAAGTGGTTTTAGAGCATTATTACAGGTGGACATGTCGTGGAAGCAAAATGATTCTTGAAGTTAACCTAGACACTATTGGGAAGGTGAAATTCAAGGAGATCCATATCCAAGACCAACGTATCACTATTAAACAACAAGGGACTTTATGAAAATACCACATTGTAGACTCGCCTGAATTTGTAACCCCGTAAAAAGAACAGCCGAATCACTTAACTGAACTTGCGGCAAAGACCCAGTGAATAGAGCCATGGACGCGATGAACATGATTGGAAATTTCATGATGTGACGTCCTGCAGCACCGACAAACCTCATTCAGCTTCACCGGAGCAAGCATGAAAAAAATTACGGTGAGAAAATCGGCAACAGTTTTATGAAGTGGGAACCGCCAGGATTAGATTGGATAAACTCCAAAAATGATATACTCAGTTCGCAAGTCCTGAAAGCGGTGGTAATTTATGAAAGATTGCAAAGTAATTTCAACATTGTACAAAGTAATTACCCTTTCTTCACAGCACTTTTCATCAGCCAAATCCCAGAGTGAGAACGAGCAGTCAAGAAGTTCCCCTCTTCGTTTGAAAACAAAGATAACTCATATGCAAACAGACCATTTGCATTTACATTATGAAGTCCCTCTGCTGAAGATTACCACTTAAAAAGAACGACGAATTCGATGGGATTCTAACCAGTGATGGGAGTGGCTTAGACTGGTCCCCTCTGCGTATTTCTTTAGAGCGGTCGCGAACCAGCGCGTGACTTCACTTGTTTGTACAGCTAGCTTCGCACGACGCCCACGGAAGCATAATTATATCATTTTTTCATATTTGGACAGCAGTGATTAGTGATCACGCGATTTGACACATCAGTAAAACGGACAATCCCCTTTTTGTTGTTTTTTCATCACTACTTCCTCAAAATGGCTGCACGTGCCTTCAGCTATTGTAAGATTTTTATTTAGTCTGGTTTCTCTTTTTTCATGTTCGTAATAATAAAACAGGAAAAGTAAGTGAGCCCAAGGATCATATTAAAGAAAAAAGTCCTCTTGCAATCTGTGTGGACCCTGAACGCGAATCTCTTTGTCCAGAGTATGGGGGAATAAAACACAATCTCTGTAATAAAAAGACACTCCATTTTTTGTATCAAATCTGTTTTTCCTTTTACCAAAAAAAATACTTTACACAGCACCGTTCTCTGCCACACATTGCAGAACTTTAAAGGAAGCGTGTTTTGCTTTTCCTGATTATTAAGGAAGTTGGCTCTGTGGTTATAGTTTTTCCTGCACGTATTTCATTTTATAATAATAAATAATGCTAAATACGGATAAGTGTTTGTCGCCAATGAATAAATATGTTAATGAATTGGACAGCTAATTTTTTTAGCATCTGGACGTGTTTTTACAAATTTGGCGACAAGATTATGCTTCGTTGTTAAACACAGTTTTCAGAGTGTAATGCCCCATATGGATGGAATTCCACTCAGGCCAGTATGTGCATAATACATTTTCTTTCCCGACCCGGGCCGATTCCATGTTTCTCTTTTCTGCAAGTTCCCTCCCACCACTGAAGCTTAACATTACTATCAAATTGTTCTTCACCTTTCTCTGAAGATTAGACAGAACCTACAATGTTCCCTTACCTGTGTGTGAAACGTATAAAGAACCTTGTAATGGAACATGGGAAATGGGCATGTTTGTTTTCGACTTAGAACAATACTTAGCGAAGAGGTACATAAATGCATGCAAAAGTTATTTCTTCTCGTTTAAACGGCTTAATATCTCAGTTAAACGACATACATGTAGATACCTCGTTTAAACGAGATAACTACACATCGTTTAAACGAGATAAAGTAATTTTTTTGCGTTGGCAGCATTCATATTTCATAGCGTTCATATTGTGGCGTCACGCCCCTCCGACGAAGGCGAGGGCGCCCTCCTCCTCGAGGTGTGACGGTCGGACGGCACGTACCGGAGAGTCCCTGAGCGGCTAGGGACGAGACCGTTGGGATGGAAGTATACCTTCCCCCAAGAAAGTTCAATGATCTCTAGTCTTCGTTGAGATGATGCCTAATCTGACTGGCCAAAACTTAGTGACGCAACCCGGACACACCTGACTTGCAATAAACCTGACTTATATACAACAATCAAAGTGGCTGGTTTACACTCATCAACACTCCTTCAATCACACTCAACCAATGCACCAGTAGAGGGCGCAATTGGTGGTAGACTGTGTGATTATACGTGACTGGACACCACAATTAATTGTTGGCATCAAGTGCCGAATCAGGGACTTAAGCAAGTCTACGGGGCTTATTGTCAGGGCTGCGCTGCACCCAATTCACGTTACGAGATGGCAATCCGCCCTTATATCGACCGCAAGCTCCTATCAGGAACTATACCGCACCACCAATTGGCCCCTCAACCTACCGAGCCCCCTCAACGACACACGCACCACTCAGGACTTAGGCACGGTCACACTAGGCCAGGTGACTGTAACCCTTGCACGGGATTCTCGATCCTTACCTCAGGATCAGCCCTTGACTCAGGACGACTAAACCGTACCTGAGCGCCCCTTACATAGCTTCGCAAGCCAGCCGCTGCATGCTGCAACTACGCCTGAGCGCGCGCTACCTGTGACCAGGCAGTGACCTCCGGTAATTAACCAATCGCCCTACGCGCAAGCACCCTCTCATTGAGCTGCGTTGGACGGGGAGTTCAATATGTTGGTAGCCATGCGACAGTGACGCGTGAGTTTCCCATTCGTTCGTGAACCAGCAAAGTTCAGTTCCGACCAAATGTGCCTCCGTTGCTGAGACAATAGTGTCCCCTCTTTGTCCAGCTCGAAGCTGAAGCTCGAGCAGGGGGGACTGCCTTCCTGGCACCCCGTCCCCGCTTCCGCCACCAGTTGATTTTGGTCGACGGTAGCCAACCACTGTAATTACCACCGGGAAAACCTGACCACCGTGCAACTCTTTCGAAGCTGCAGAATGAAAGTTAGCTCGTAAACTCATCTTTCTCTCGTCAACTTCGAAGGAAACATTCGTTCGAAAGCTAAAGCACACATCGGCGTACTTCCCGTATCAATACACGTGAAGTTCGCTCGAAAGAAAAAGTGCTCTCCGCGGAGACATGTAACCGTTTGTACGTCTGTGGTTGAATGAAAAAGTCAAACCCCTATACAAATGGCAATGTCCAAAAAGACAGATCAAGAGTTTCTAGATCTGATACTCTGAAACACAAAACACTGTTGTCATCTTGCCTTCGGTTCATTCAG